TCACATTTGTTACCTGATGCCAATACAGATTCTTTATTATTTGGATGTCTTTGTCATCTAGTCCCCCTTGTTTCAGGATTTCTAATAGTTTGCTGTGTCTTATTTTATCAAAAGCTTTTTTGAAATCAATGAAGTACATGTAAACACTGTGATTGACATCTCTACAACGCTGTACAAGAACCTGTATGCTGAACAATCTCGTGTACCAAGATTGTTTCTGAAATCAAATTGTGTGTTACCTAGATGCTCTTCAATTTTGTTGTATATTCGTGTGTGAATTATTCTCAGGAATATTTTCAGAGCATGACTCATTAAGCTTATTGCTCTGTATTCAGTACACTTCTTTGCATTTATTTTTTGGGGGATTGTCACAAAGGTTGATTTTAGCCAATCATTTGGTATCTTTCCTGATTCATATATCTGATTGAAGAGCTGCAGTAAAAATTCTTCCCATTATCTTCCAGCAATTTTAAAATTTCTACTGGGATATCATCAGGTCCTGTGGCTTTTCTCGTTTTTGCTATTTTTATTGCATGTTCAACCTCTTCCATAGTGAAATTTGGTCCAGTTGTTATACTTCCCATATCTATATCATCCCTAGTGTCCTCAAAAAGTTCTTCAATATATTTCTTCCATCTTTTTAGTTTTTCATCCTCATCTAAGATAATTTTACCCTTTTTGTCAACTAAGTTGTTGATTTTCTTTTTGTAGAGGCCTGCTGCTTCTTTCATTGGGCTAAAGTTTGGATCTGCTGACATCAACAGCTCTGGATAAGCTGCATCCTTTTCATTGTCTTTATCTTCATCTGAGTCTAGAGAGTAGAATTCCGGTGGACCTGGAATTGGCAAGTCATCACCATGGGGTACAGAACACAGTGTGGATGGAATGTTTGGATATTCTATGGTCCACTTCTTTCTTGCAATCTCTTTTGCAATTGGTGGAACCATGCGAAAAGAGCAGTCGCTACTATGAATTGGTGGGTTCCCTTCACACCATTGGAACTGCAAAAAGCATGGACTTTTTCTTCTGGTTTATCCAATGACACAGATAAGTTGCACATGTAATGCAACAATAATGAGGGGGCCCAACTCTTGTCCTGATCCTCTATTTTGCATCCAAAATATAGGTGGTATGCCTTTTTTACCATTGCCATCATACTGCACTTTTGAGATGCATATATAACCTCGCCACAAATGTAGCAGATGTTATCTGCATTGTTTACACAGTTTTGTGGTATCTTGGCTTCTGAAGGAAAATATCAAGCAACTGTTCCTTGGAAATGTTAGGCAATAATATTTTCACAAGCCACCAGATGTAACTACTGTATTTGATGCGTAGATCTGACCAAGACAAATCTATCTTACATAATAAATAAGTAAATTACAGTTAGGTAATAATCTTTAGTCTCAAACTGAAGATAAATTTATACACTTCCATGTGGTATCATTTTCATTGTTCTACTGTACTTTGTCGAGAAATTATGAGGCATCGTGATCATTAGACACCTCCCTCCCTTGTAAACAAATATACTCGCCTATATATAAATCTTTATTTGAAATAACTTGAAAACTTTAGCCAACCAGCACCTTTATCATCTGTTTTCTAATTCATATAATCAAAATATGTAAGAATTAATACATTTTATCTCCGAGGTTGATAATTTCCCAAAATTTGTAGACCAGGGTTATTTCAGTAACAATTTCATTAAATTGTTGGAAGTCAGCCAATCTGACATAAAAGCTATTATAAATTACTTATATCATCTTGGTTTTGTCATTTTTGCATTATGTAATATTCTGCATGCATAACTGTATCATATCCTTCTAAAGTCCAAACAGAGCAACTACCTAGGACTAAATGAGTTTTTAGTAAAACAAAATCCATTAATATTTCTATAAGTAATACAAGTGGTTCACATAGTAAGCCAGGGGTGTCAAGCTCAATTTCATTGAGGGCCGCATAAGCATTCTGGTTGTCCATTCTGGTGGGCACGGCTGCAGAGTGGCCAGCTTGATGTAGCCAGCTTGATGTCACTCATGTTGGGCTGGGCTGGGCTGCAGGGTCACTGGGCTGGGCTGCAGGGTCCCAGTGCCCCAGGAGCTCGAGAGCTGGGCTGGGTGCTTGGCCTCTGCTGCCCAGGGCTCCGGGCAGCCCAGGGGACCATCCAGGTGCCTGGATCCTCCGGGCAGCTCCCACACCTGGCCTCCTCTCTGCTCGAGCCATGGGGTTCCCTCAGCCCTAAGGCACTGGGCGCTGCTGTCCTTTTTGATAGGGTAGCTCACATATCGCCGGATGCCTGGCCATTCCAGGCCACTGCTCTGTATCTGGAGTACTGTGTTCACCTTTCCAGCCCTGCCATGTAACAGAGAGGGCAATCCCGAGGTGGCCCCTGCTGACGCTCAGCTTGGGCTGTTCCACTCTCTCATATCCCCACTTTTCATCCCATAGGCCAGGTCCCAACTGCTGCCTGGTACACAGCTGGGCCCCCTCCTTCAGTCTTGTGTCCGCCAGGTGGCAAATGGCGAGGGATAGATCCCTGCTGCTGGCCACCTGGCCTGTGGGACGAAAGGCAGGGAGACAGGAGTGTGGAGCAACACAAGCAGAACATCGGCGGGGGCTGGCTCCGGGTCACTCTCTCCGCTTCATGGTGGGGCTGGAGAGGTGAACGCGGCACTCACACCACATGCAGAGCTGCATCCTGGAACAGCTGGGTACCCGGCAAAATGCGAGCCACCCCATCAAGAAGGACAGCTGCACCCTGGGATGTGGAGCCAATGGAACACCATGGCCCGAGCAGAGGTGGACGCCAGGCGCGAACCTGCCACAAAGAGGATCCAGGCTCCCGGTTAGTGTTGATGTTCCTCTGGGTTACCCAGAGCCCTGGGCAGTGGAGGGCAAGCACCCAGCTCGGCCCGCGAACTCCCAGAGGACCAGGACTCTGCAGCCCAGCCCAGCCCCACTTCCCCAAGGAGCCACCCAGCTGTGCTAACCTCCTCAAGGCTGCTGCTGCCATGCTGCTGCAGTATGAGATGAGGCGAGGCCCGGCAAAGCGGGGCCAGGTGAGGAGAGGAGAGGCAAGCAAGGCAAGGGGAGGTTAGGGCCAGCAAGGCGAGGGCTGGGCGAGGAGAGGCCTGGCAAGGTGAGGGCCGGGTGAGACCAGGCGAGGTCCAAAAAGGTGAGGGCCGGATGAGGGGAGTTGAGGCCTGGCAAGGCAAAGCTCAGGTGAGGGGAGGGGAGGCCTGCCAAGGCAAGGATCAGGCGAGGGGATTTGAGGCCTGGCAAGGCAAGAGCCATGCGAAGGGAGGAAAGGCCTGGCAAGGCGAGGGCCGGGCCAGGAGAGGAGAGGCTGGGCATGACAACGGGAGGCCGGGAGGGATTGGGTGAGCAGGGCAGGACAAGGTGAATAAGCTGCAGTTACTGTTGGGCACTGCCAGCCCCCAAGTACTTGTCACCTCCTGTGCACTCTGGGAGGGCACCTGGCTGCGTTGGCGTGGGCTGGGGCAGTGGGGGCCGGTCCCTTGCTGTTTATGGTGTGGCCCCGTGGGCCAAATATGGGCCCATTGCCCATACAGTAGAAACAAATATAGTACTTCAGGAAGCATATTTGTACATATATGGAAAATCAAGTTATGCATTTGCATAATCCTTAACCCAAAATTTCTTTTCATTTTGCCTTAATGTGACACATTAAAACGTATTTATATTGAAGTAATATTAAGGTAGCTTTTGCCCAGTTTTATTACAGCAATGTTACCTGCATTTTAGAACTTCTCCGTAAATTTAATGTTTTAATATTGGGGGCATTCGCTTTTTATCTGTACCTACTACATAAAGCAATTTGAAAGTTTTTAGGTGGGAAAACATAATTTAAATATTTTAAGTTAGATAAGAATTGATGCCTGAAAAAGGAGATTCCCTTCCCCAAATTAATTTACTTTTTTGTTTATCAACCCTCCTTCCAAATTAGTTTACTTTTTATTTGCCAGATCCATTCTGCTTTTATTTGCCAGATCCATCCTGCTTATAGATTCTTACAAATAATCATAGAGTAAAATAATCTTTTAAAGTTCAGTAAATACAAAAATGTTCTTTCTCTTTGTATTTTCTTACTAATTTAGTCTGTACTATATTTAAATTTTCCTAGTAATATAATTAATTGTCAAAGGGAGTCATTTGATCAATAGATAAGCTAAACAATATAATATTATTTAATCATTTTTCTTTTGTATTTTTTTCGGTTGTTTGTTTAAGAATTACCTTTACCTCGATTTAGTGCTCTGAAGAGTAATAGTGAAATAAGGTACATCAGTCTACCAGAAGCACATGGAGCAAAGTTTCAGAATCCACATACAACCTTTGAGATAAATTGCTTCCGAAGAACAGATGAAGAAGAAAAACAGGTAAAGTCCCTTTTAAATATATAACTTTTATTGTGGGATCAGCTACAAGCTTTTTGTTTTATGATATCATGCTGACAAAATCAGATAGATCTTGATTAGCATTTTAGTTCATTTTATTGATAAAGTCTCTTGACACAGACTGGGAATTACAGCTAATTATTTAATCATTGCAGATTCTTTCAACAAAAAATATCAATTGCTTATTCTTAGAGAGTTAAGATTGCTCATCTCTTATATGAACCACTTGCTGTTCATCTTAAGCAGATGAACTACAGATGAATTTTCTTTTAGATACAAAGAATTTTTTTTAGATATGTGGAAAATCACTTAGAGCCAAATTCAGTAGTGCATTCACTTTTGCCTTTGTTAGTAGTACTGAGATTGAATTGCTCTTTTCCTCATCCTCAAAATCTACTATAGTAAATCAAAAGATCCTTCACAAGATTTAGGGGGAGAGCCATAAGAAAGAGAAGAAAGTCTTAATATAAGTAGACTTTTGTTTACATAGTGCTTTTGCTGGTTCTGTATGAAGCTATAAAGGCTTACTAACAACTGTTCAAAGTGTAAATGTTAAAACTTTAGTTTGAAATTTAAATGCTTCAATTTGCTTTTTATGAGGTGTCAAGGTATTAGTTAAGTTATTACCTAACAAAAGATTGTTCAATATTACATTCTTTTCTATTTTAAATATTGTATCATTCAATATCATTCTACTTTGTGACACCCACTCTCTAGAACAGGGGTGTCAAACTTGCAATGTCATGTGACGTGTTGCGACATATTACAACTTTTTTCCCATTGCCGGCAATGGGGTGGGTGTGGTTTTGGCATGACACATCCAGCCCATGGGCCAACAGTTTGACAACCTGCTCTAGAACATTATTCCCTTGGAGATTACACTTGTCCCAACCCTACTGGCTTTTTATCTTATTTTTATTCATTGTTAGCTGCCCAGAGTCATGTATTTGAGAGGGGCAGCTCTATAAATTGAATAAATAACCCATTAAAATGAATTACTTTGCTTCACCTGCCAAGAATCAGGTACTAAATATTCATATGTAATATGAATATTTACAGAAGAAAAACTGTACAAATTTGTTTCAGGTCAAGCAGAAATTTAACTGACATAAATTGAGTAATCCAGTTACATATGTTATTACAACATCTCTCTTGAAGGAAGAAGCAAAGTCTTCTCCCATGTCTCCCATTGGTTCCCATCCTGCTTCTCCCTCAAGTTATCAGAGAATTCCTTTGGGATATGGATATAGTATATTGAGAAGTGGGCTTGAGCAACAGCATGGAGGTAAGTTAATGATTACCTTTGCTATTGTTGTAAGTGTAAGCAGCACTGCCAAAAGGTGTGATAAGAGACTCCTTCTTCAAGATTGAGGAGGAGCTATGTAGAATAGATGGGAATTAATGAGCCATCTTTACCAGCAGCCGAACAAGTCACTCTAAAGATTAGTTGCTATAAGGAGCAATATGGAACCCTTTAACCACACTGACTTAGCAAAACTGGCACAACTGGGCAAGGAGGAGTAAATATACATTTATTGCAGACACATGTTGTATGGATGGAAGAAATGCTTATGGGAGAAGGAGGATCACCATATGCAGTCTAACATCCCCCCCCACACCATATACAGCCTAACCCCTCCAATTGTTAAGTCTCATTTTATACAAAACCTCTGTGAATTATAAGAGGCACCTGTGTGCAAAACATCTGACCCAGCATGCCAGAGACAACATTTTAAAATATTTGTAACCTGCCCCAATTTCTTGGAATCTTCCTGGGAGGGTCAGGTTCCATATTAAGAAAAAAATGTGGAGTGCTCAGTTTGCTTAAGAATTTATCACCTAGAAAATGGAACCAATTTTTGGGGGTTTGCCAAGTTTTTGCTTTTCACATAGCAAATTAGACTATTTCATGCTTAACTTGATCATTTACAATAATATTCTAATAAATCTTTAACAACCTGTGACAGTAGAATATCAGAAATCTTGGGAATGCTTTGGTCTTCATATATACACTGTTAATAACACAAATACATTCTCCAATTGTTTACAAAATTCCCTTTACAATTCACTCAATGTATTGCTAAACTGTAGTGTTCTGTCCCAGCCTATGTGAGTACTTGCTCAACTGCTTTACTCACAAGAAGAAACCCCTCTTCATGGAACCAGGCAGGACCCGCAAGAAAAAACAACCCCCTTTTATTTTTACACACCTCACTCAATATCCAAGACTTCAGAGGCAAGCAACACAATCCATAAAAACACAATCCTCAGCACAAACCAGCACCTCCCACACCTTTCCCCTTGATAATCCAGCTGGGGCATGGCTTCTTAATGGCTTTTCCTTTGCCTCTTGAGCCACCCCACTGCCTTCCTTGTCTTGCTCGTCTCCCTTCTCTGCACATCCGTGCATCCGGGATTGGCCCCAGCTGTTCCTCTTTGTTGCCCAACTCAGGCTCCCAAAACAGCTATGTCTCTGCCCGAGCATGAGTAGAGGGGCCGGCCTCGTCTGACTGTGAGTCTTGGTGCTCCTCAGACCTTCCTCTGATTCCAATGTCACTCCAGGCCCCTTGTCCACATCTGAGTCCTTAGACACAGCTGCCAGATCCACTAGCTGCCGAGAAATCACAACATGTAGTCAGATATCTGCAGAATGTGGTCACACTTCATATTGATATATTTAAATAATATAACATAGAATATAATCTAACACATGCTTTATTCTTTGCAAAACATGGTTATATCCAGTAAACAGATATTTTAATGTCTATTTGCTTTCACAGTTAGCTGGGCAAGTTGAAATTTAAGTTGCCTGTTTCTTAGATCAGGGCTTTTCAACCGGTGGTACGTGTACCACTGGTGGTACTTTGGCACCAGGCAGGTGGTATGCGACCCTCCTAGACAAGTGTAGTGGGGGAGGGGAATGAACTGAAGCAACAGAAGCCTGAGGGAGAGACAGCTGAAGCTGCAGGACTAATGGGATTCTTCAGAGGCCCCAGGATCACCACAGGGCTCCAGCTGATTGGTGCTTCCGGAAGGTGAACCAAAGAGAAAAGGAGGGGGGGAGAGAGGAAAGGATATAAAAGATGGTTTTGACAGGAATGGGAAAAAAAGACAATAGGGAAAGAGAAGGGGACAGAGACGAAGCTGTGGAAGGAGAGTCCAGTAGGCAGGGAGGAAAAAGAGACAGGGAAGAAGAAGCTGTTGCTGGAAGAAAAAGTCCTCTGTTTCATTTTCTCCAGCCAGGAGAATACAATGAATATGATGAAATGAAAAGCCAGGAGACGAGTATATCGGAAAGGAGGTTGGTTTATTTCGGAAGCCAATGGGTTCTGGGTCAGCTGGCAACTTGATTGTGTTACCATAAGGATTTTAATACAGTTTTTACAGTGCTTCATAATTCAGAAGCTCGGTTTGTGTGCTTTTGTTATTGGAATATTTTAGTCTGTTTCACAAAGGCTAGCAATGAGTCCAAAATGTTGGCTTCCATAGGTTCTAATCCCTTTAAACAAATGTAATTAGTTTTACCCCTTTATCTTGAGTCTGTCTATTGCTTTTAACAAGTTTTCTTTGTAGGTAAACAGGCTTAATTTAAGGCTTCCTCTTTTCACAATTGCCGGAGCATTTCAGGCTCCGGTTGCAATATTGTTTAAGCTGAGGTAAGCCTGAAGCTATTATTTGACAGCTTGAAGAAAAAAAAATAGAGTTAGTGTTTCTTTATTCTGGGAGGCATTTGTGAGCCTTTCTTACTTTGCACTTGATTCCTGTGTCTTTAGGGATACAATGAAGGGACTGGAGGGGGCATTCTTACTACACTGTGGAAAGGGAACCCAGAAGGCAGGGAGGAAGAAGAGAGAGGAGAGGGAGAGAGGGCTGATCAGCCAGCTGACTACCAAGATAGTGGTACTTATTAATAAATATGGATAAATTCATCATATATTTGTCAGTGCAAAGGGAAAGTGATTCAGCAAAAGAGCCATCACCAAAGAAATTAGAACCGGTACTTTTTTCTTTTTTTTACAGTTTGTAACATTTTATTAGATTATAGAATAAAATACAAAAATACAAAAGCAAATAGTATGACACATTAGGGAGGAAAAAGGGGGGAAAAGTGAGGGGGAGAAAGGAAAAAAAAAGAAAAAGCACTGACTTCCGACTTTCTCTGTTGAAGCAGTAGAAGAAAGCTTTAACATCGAACCTCAACTTTTTAACTTTTCCATAATATTATAAACTAGCCATTTCTATAACAATAAATGAATCTAATCAGTAACACACACCCCCCGCCGCTTTTTTTTAGTCATCAAGTTTTGGACACCTTGCTAAGCACTGGTGGTATTTGAATATTGTCATGTCCTAAAAGTAGTACAATCTGTGAAAATGTTGAAAAGCCCTGTCTTAGATATCAGTGCCTTCAAACCATTGTTTCCTTGCAAAGATATTTACTCAAAAATGGTATATGAAGAATTATTTCCTAACTAACACATGGTCTATATCTATATCCAAATCTATATATCCATATGTCTCTATTTCTCTCTCAATGCACATTGATACATACATTGGCATTAGTTGAAATTTTTTCTTCTCCACCCTTTCGTATCAGTCCTTCCAATCCTTCAAAAATAATGTTTACAAATGAGGGGGACTATAATAGAAAAAGGAATTATTGTGAGGGAAAAGGAGAATTTTGAGAATGAGGCATGACCAGGTACAGTATCTCTATTCTCTGAATAGTACAATAAAAATAACTAATTGCACAACTTTTTTCTGTATTACTGAAATATGATAATGAAAGAAAAAGTGTCATTTTTTCTAAAATATGAAGAATCATACTATATACAAATTTATTTTTAGTACAATATTTCCTTTTTTCAATTATTCGAATTATATTTTTAATTGCAAAAAATTGTTTAAGCCGAGAAGTCAACAAATTATGCAGCTTGTATTTGATATTATAATATATAAGTATGGGAGAATGGGGTCATAGAAAAATAACAAAACATGTACTTTATGTACATATACTTTATTTTCTTATGCTTCTATTAAATCATAAGGAATCTCTGACATGTCTGCTATATTGAACCTTGGAAGACTTGTATTTGGACTCTTAGAAATGTGATGATTAGAATAAACAATATAGACAAATGTCCTCATGTTGAAAATACAGCTTTGTATTTTTTTAAAAAAGAAATCATTTATCTGTACAAAAGTGATAATACTGTTATTGCAACAAATTCACAAAATATAAAAAGGAAATTGATCTTACAAATTTATAGGATATTGTGCAAAGCCTTCTGATCATTTGCTGCTACATAAGAACACATTGTATTACTTGTCTTAACTATATGGTGTATTACAGTGATGGCGAACCTTTTAGAGACCGAGTGCCCAAAAATTGGCCCCACCCCCACTCCACCCTTGCCCTGCCCCCACTCTGCCCCCCCATCTCCCGCCCCGCCTGCCTGCAGGGCCACTCACCGACTCCAAGGCCCTCTGCAGATCGCCCAGGCAGCCCAGCAGTGCTATGGTAGTCACGCCCTGTGCCCGCGCCCTGCAGCATCAACTGTGTACGATGGGGTGTGAGGGCAGTGTCTTGTTTCCTTGGCTGTGCTACTCCGCATGGGCCATGCTCAGGGGCGACTCTCCTTCAGGGAGGCTGCTGGAGAGGAAGGGGTCATGGGGGGAGGCGAGGCTGGGGCAACAGCACGTGTGCCCACAGAGAGGGCTCCGAGTGCCGCCTCTGGCACCCGTGCCATAGGTTTGCCACCACTGGTGTATTAAGTTAGGACTGATTTATTTATTTTTTATTTATTACAATTAAAACTGCTTTTCCCCCCTGTACTGTAAGATGCCATAGTTTTCAGACTGAAGACAAGATTATTTAAATAAACATTTTAAATAACAACTACTACAGAAATTTAGATGTATATTTTTGTTATATATCACAAATGACAACGGTAGACAGCTTTGTTGTAACATTGAGTGAACATATAAATGTTGGTTTAACTTACTGAAGAAAGTTGCAAATTTAGTTTAATTAGAGCTCAAGTAAAAAATAAAAAGAAATTGCTGTTCTGAGAGATATTAGATGCTTTTTGCAAATAATGAATTATTGATTCTATATAGAATCAAACCCCTCTGTTAAAAAACCATTTACCATTTGAGCCTTCTTCATTAACCCTTTTCCTTAATTTTTATCCATCCTAATAGTGGTTATGGTAATAAAGTGAATTTTACATGTGTGTATAAAATTATTTGGTATGCGGCAAGTTCCAAACTTCGTAATGTTTTATTTTGGTTTAGCATATGTTTTGCATTCACCTTAATCTTTCTTTTTTAAAAATTTTATTAAGTTTTTATAGTTACAAATCTTTAGTGCTTGATAAACAACATGTTGTCTGGATTTACATATTTGACATTAATAGTAATACAACTTTTATTCCTACTCTCTACTCCGTTTTTCTAGCCATTTATAAAAATTATCCCATGTTTGAAAATAATCTGTATCTTATTTCTCTTTCATTTTCAAAGTAAGCCTATCCATTTCTGCACAATCCAAGTTTTTCCTAATTATATCTTCTTCCGATGGCGTTTCTTCATTTTTCCAACACTGTGCAAATCTAATTCTCGCTGCTGTTAGTACGTTTAATATTAAATATATACATTTTTTGCCATAGTTCTCTGTGATTATACCTAGAAGAAATAATTCTAGCTTAAAATCTACATGTTTTCTTAACATTTTCTCTAACCACATGTGCATTTTTGACCAAAATTTTTTTGCTTTAGGGCATTTCCACCAGAGGTGATACTATGTGCCTGGCTTTTGCCTGCATTTCCAACAATTTCTAGATATGTTTTTAAACATTTTTGCTAATTTTGCAGGTGGTAAATGCCATCTATAAAACTTTTTATATAGATTTCCTTTATAAGTAGCTGCCTTTGCTATTTTATAGTTTCTCTCCCACAAGTTTTGCCATTTTTCTAATTCTACATTGTGCCCAACATTTTTTGCCCAAGTTATCATTGTTTCTTTAACTTGTTCATCTTCCATCTTCAGGTTTAACAAAAATTTATATATCTTAATTTCTTAATCAGTTTTTCATCTGATAAAATCATATGTTTTAGCATCATTTTCGTATCTCATTTGCATTTGCAAGTATGGCCACCATGAGAGCTCAATGCCCTGTTCTTCCAATTCTTATTTACTTTGTAATTTCCTATCAGTATTCAAAATGTCTCTGTATGTCACAAGTTTCTCATAGTTGATTAAATTTGGGTGCAAAAACACTTCCATTGTCAAGATCCATCATGGTATTTTCATATAATTTTTCATTTTTATCTTTTCCCATGTCAAAAGCAAGGCATTTCTTATATAATGATTTTGAAAGTATTTATGGATTTTGTTCTTCCCATACCATAGAAAAGTGTGCCATCCAAGTTGTAGGTCATGTCCTTCTAGGTATAGTAATCTTTTGTGTCTAAGGGTTATCCCCTCTTTTAACTATATTAATGCAGCTGCTTGATAGTATAGAACCCAGTCTGGTAGCCCAAATCCTCCATTTTCTTTTGCTTCTTGTAACAATTTCAGTCTTATTCTGGCTTTTTCCCCCTTGCCAAATAAATTTCAAAATCAATGCATTTAACTCATAAAAAAAATTCTCTAATTTTATAGATATTGTTTGGAATAGAAAAGGTAGTTTTAGTAAAATTTTCATTTTCACCATCGCTATTCTTCCCAACATTGATAGTTCTAGATTTTTCCATCTTTCCAAATCTAATTATATTTGTTTTAATAATTTAAGATAATTATCTTATTTTAATGTCACACACCTTGCTGTTAAGTATATCCCCAGGTATTTAACCTTCTTAACTATCTGGAGATCTGTTTTTTTCTGACAGTTGTTTTTTTTGTTTATCTATAAGGTTTTTGACTATCACTTTAGTCTTATCTCTGTTTATTTTCAATCCTATTACTTCTCCAAATTCCTTAATCTTTATCAATAATTTAAGGCTTGTCTCCAAGGGATCTTCTAATCTAGTATGAATACCAAATTGTCTGCAACTGCTTGTAATTTATATTTTTCATCTTTTATCTCAGTGGTTCTCAACCTGTGGGTTGAGACCCCATTTGGGGTCAAACGACCATTTCACGGGGGTCGCCAAACAATGCAGTCCGCCATTTTTTTCCCTTTTCCTTAGCTGTGCTACTTTTATTCTATTGGCTTTTGAAAGCCAATAGAATAGACTCTCTTTCAAAAGCCAATAGGAATTGTCCAGGCTGTCTCTGCCCTGCTGAGCCCACCAAAAGTCCCATTCTGCAAACGGTGCTGCACCAATTGAGTAGTCCTCGACTTACGACTGGTTGAGTAGTCCTCGACTTACGATCGGTTGGGGGTCGCGGCATTAAAAAGGTTGAGAACCACTGTTTTATCTCCATACTTTTAATTTCTGGGTCCTGTCTAACATTTCTATTCAGTATTTCCAGAGTTAAAATAAATAATAATGGAGATAGTGGACACCCTTGTCTTGTGCCTTTTTTAATATGAAAATTCTCTGTAAAATCTCCATTTACAATTACTTTAGCCGTTTGTCTATGGTAAATTGTTTGATTATATTTATAAAGTTTTCTCCAAAGTCCATATAGTTTAATTGTACCATAAATTGCCAATTAACATTATCAAAAGCTTTCTGCGCATCTAAGAAATTTAATGCCATTTGTTTCCCTAGATGCATTTCGTCATATTGCAGAATATCTAAAATTATTCCTAGGTTGTTCTTTATTTGTCTTTTTGATAAAAATTTATTTTGGTCTGGATGTATAAATTCAATCAAAAATCTCCTCAGTCTTTCTGCTATTATTGAAGCAAGAATTTTGTAATCCACATTTAATAAAGATATTGGTCTATAATTCTTTATCTGAGTCAAATCTGAATCTTCTTTTGGTGTTAAAGTAATACTGGCTTCTGTCCATGTCCACTAAAACTTCATTCCATACTTCTTGCATTAATGGGCTTAGTATATCTTGTAGGCTTTTATAAAATTCTGCGGGTACCCCATCTGGGCCTGGTGTCTTATCATTTTTTTTATCTTTTTATAGCTTCTGTCAGCTCCATCATTGTTATTTCCCCATTTAACATGTTTTTGAAATTCTCTGGAATTTTTTGTAGATTAGCATTTTCTATATATTGCCTTATTTTTTCCTGAGTAGTTTCTTCTATATCATAAAGTGTTTCATAAAATTCTTTAATTATTTTTTTTATTGTATCATTCTGGCATTGTAAATCGCCTCTGACATCTTGCAGTTTGTTTATCTGTTTTTTCTCTCTTTCTTTTTTTAGTTTATAGGCTAACCATCTACCCGGCTTATTGGCATTTTCAAAAAAGCTTTGTTTTGCTCTTTTAATTTGTTGGGCCATTTCTTCAGCTTCTAATAAATTTAATTTGTGTTTTATTATTGCCATTTGTTTTTTAAACATTTTCTTTTGTGGGTCTCTTTGTAGTTCTAATTTTGTCAATTCTTCCTTTAGCTTCGTTTGTTCTTGTTTTTTTTTCCTTGTTCACCTTAATCTTTCATAGGTTCCTATGAAGCTAGGCATTCTATTCAAGATGGATTGACTTCAGGGAATTATGGGCCCAAATCAGTGCCAACGCGCTCATCTATTATTCAGGTAATTTGCATGAGATGCAAAAATAATTGAAAATAAATCTTCTGCATGTGCTAAAAGAGTATTGAAAAATAAAATTTTGATTTTTATAATCAGTGTTACTTGAACTTGTCTTGAATGAGACCAGTAGGAAGATGCTGATAGTATTTTGCAGCAAAGAAAAATTGCAATCTAAAACTAGTGAGGCATACTGAGAGCTAATATGAGCTCTGGCCTTTAGAATATGTATGAAATGGAAGCATTTTACAATAGTACACAGGATCAGCTAGAGTAGGGGTTCCCAACCCCTGGTCCGTGGACCGGTACCAGACCGCAGCATGCCAGCAACCGGTCTGCACAAACAAGCAAAGCCCCTTCTGTGGTATGCAGGCAGCACACAAAACCACGCCCACTCCAGTCCACAGAAAAACCTCTCTCCACATAACCGGTCCCTGGTGCCCAAAAGGTTGGGGACCTCTGAGCTAGAGGATAAAGTGAGATTGTCTTCCATCTAATTTAAATACAGGTAATCTTCAATTTATGGCCATAATTGAGCCCAAAATTTCTGTTGCTAAGTGAGACATTTCTTGAGTGAATTTTACCTCATTTTATGACCTTTCTTGCCACATCTGTTAAATGAATCACTAAAAGTTGCTAAGTTGGTAACATGGTTGTTAAGTGAATCTGACTTCCCCATTGGCTTTGCTTGTCAAAAGGTCACAAAAGGGGATCACTTGACCCTGGATCACTGCAACCATCATAAGTATGAGTGATGGTTGCCAAACACCTGAATTTTGATCATGTGACCATGGGGATATTGCAATGGTTATAAATGTGAAAAATGGTCATAAGTCACTTTTTTCAGTGCCATTGTAACTTTGAATGGTCACTAAATGAAGTTGAGGACTACCTGTATTAATTTAGTTTAGCTTTTATATTAGGATTAAGATTTACAGGTTGGAGGGCAGACATCAATGCCAGATATTTTAGTTTGTCTCTATCTACCTGAAGTCACCATTTGTCCACTTCTTTTTCATAATGTTTTGGATAAGAAGGAAATGGGCAAGACAAAGGGCTTGAGACTGAGACAAACTTCCAGATCTTTCTTATTGGCATCAATTTGAGTAAATTAAAATGTTCACTACCTTAAGAATTCATGCTGCCATTATACTTGCATGAGCCATGGTGGCAGCACATTGGTTAGAATGGAGTACTGCAAGCTACTTCTGCTGACTGTCAGGTAATTTGGCAGTACGATTCTCACCGGCTCAAGATTGACTCAGCCTTCCATCCTAGTGCATCTGTGTATAACTAAAAGAGCGTTCCACAAAACAAAGACAATTTTGTATCTCAGAGGTTTCTAAAGAACAGAGACATTAGTGTGTGTCAGAAAGAAATATATTTCATCAAGGAAATTTTGGGTAGAAGTTGCACTGGGTAATTAATATATGAAAACTAAATAGTTCATTTAATTCAAATTAACACGATCAAACTCAAATTTATAACCAGGAGTTTGTGTCATGGGTTACTATGATGTGGGTACTAGCAGCAAGGAAAAGACAACCTTTAAAATTCTGCAAGATAGCTGACAGAAAGGAGCTAAGGATAAACTAATCTATATTGGTTTTTGTGACTAATATTATTCTTCACTATTATAGTTTATTTTAGTTGGAGGTGCATCTAGAGTCCATTGGAGTTGAGTGACTGATAAATTCAAATTAATAAATTAAGAAAGGCCTTTTTGAATCAGTTCTCACTACTGTCCTTTCTTATGTAATGGTCACGTAATGGTCATGTACTGATGGAATTAGAGTTTAATGGATATCTAAAAGCAACCTCTCCTTGTGAATGATTTATTCCTGGAGTGCTTGTTTAGGAAATGTTAAATGCTAAAGTTGTTTTTTGAGATTTGATCTTTCCCCATCTTAATATTAACAATGATTCCAATCAAACAAACAATTTATCTGTAATTCATTTGGAACTTGTCTTATTTTCCTTGTTTGGAAATGTGAGGATTGTTAGCAATTTATTTAAGAAGTTTTCTTTTTTACGTCATAGGTACATTTTATCTATTTAGTTTGTAAACCTTTCCACTGGAAAAGATTATACATTAAATATCCACAACATTCATTTTTGACAATTTTTGATATGTATGGCTTCTGGAAAATAATGTTTTGCAAATTCAACCAAAGTATCAACTCTATTTATTTTTAAAAGAATGACATAGTAGCAACAGAACATAGTTAATGCTTTGAAACCTCAGGATGCTCAGCTTTTTTGTTATCCTTCCAAATAAAACATTTTCCTTTTTTGAAGTATCTTTCAATAGAAACGGAACCACAGGACAGCAGTAGTAATTACCCAGATAACCTTTGGAGGGTAACTGAGGAACAACGAGACTATTATATCAATCAGTTCAAGTCTTTACAACCAGATCTCAACTCTTTCATTTCAGGTAATGTCCTTTGTAAAGATAGAAAGTAATACTAGACTGAGAATCCTGGACAAGTAAAAGAAATTCTTATAGATAAAGTACAAAATGTGTAACTCTGTGTGTGTGTCTTGATAGGGGTGGGGATGGGTTATACATGATAGATAGAACCTGGTTTCTTTCTTTCTTTCTTTCTTTCTTTCTTTCTTTCTTTCTTTCTTTCTTTCTTTCTATCTATCATCTATCTATTAAACAAATACATAAACATGTGGGATTACCTACATGAAATTAAATGTTATAGTAAATTATTTACTATAATAATTGGAGTTCTATATTGTCCTATCACAGATATCTTTTAATAGCAATGTAATATTTAAGCTCAAGAAACTAGAGTTTCCCCTATTTATGCTTTATAGAAGCAATAAAAACCATATTATTATGATAAATAAGGACATTAATTATGAAACCATAGTTTACTAAAAACATTGATTTATAGTTGCCAATAAAACCAAACAAATATATGTAGAACATGTACAAAACAATTACTCAAAGCCATTATTTTATTTGTTAGTTTTAATCCTACAATAGCATTCTTTTATTGCTGCTTTTAATCTTATTTTGAATGATAAGCAGCCAAAGAGATGATTTTGAAATAAATCCTATATTTTAATGTATAATATTCAATAAAACATAAGAGGGGGTTGATATAAACAAAATTAAATGCTTTCAGGTCCCATTTGGAATTGGGATACTGATGAAATATTTATATAAAGTTATGGAATTTTATTATTTTGAATTTGTATACCTTTTCATAAATCATATTTTATAACTAACAATATTAACACATCATAGTACATTTTTCTCCCTTCAGAGATAAAAGTATAATAATAATAATAAGAACTGAAACAATGAGATTTAGAACCGCACAAAACAACAGAAAAACATTCCCTGCTCTGTAACTTTTTACAAAGAAAAAGCTAGCAAGCTATTAAAAGATGCCAATGCTATAATATCAGATATAAGCATCAGCTCACTGCAAGAAACAAACCAACCGATGGACAGCATGGCTGCAGTTATAACTGAATAGCTGAGATACAAAATCAACAAACAAGAAAAAAAACTAAATAGTGCATCAGTAACATGGAAGATCAGGTTGGAACACAAGATCAGCAAGCTAAGATCAGATGCAAGCAAGGCAGAACAGATGAAAGAAAAGAAGCCAAGTTACAAGAAGACCAAAGAGTTTCTGATCAAGAAATACCACCTAGAAACAAGGAAGATTAAGGAAGCACTAGAAATAATAAAGCAGCGAATTACAGCTACACAAGTAGTCCTTGACCTGTATGACCACACTGAGACCAAAATTTCCATTGCTAAACAAAACAGTTGTTAAGTGAGTTTTTCCGCATTTTATGACCTTTCTTGCCACATTGTTAAAATGAATTCAGTTCAGTTCTTAAGTTAATAACACAGTTGTTAAGTGAATCTGGTTTCCCCATTGACTTTGCTTGTCAGAAGTCACAGAAGGTGAACCATGACCCCAAGAGATTGCAACCATCATAAATACGTGCTAGTTGCTAAATGTCTGAATAATGGGTCATAAGACACTTTTTTCACTGCCATTGTAACTTCAAATGGCCACTAAATGAACAATTGTAAGTCGAAGTCTACCTGTAGCCAAGAACATCTCCAAATTCAGAAAATTTTCTACCAATCCATCAATGGATGGACCTGACCCCCCTCCCCAAAATACAAGTCTGGGCATAAATATGGGACAACCTAAAAAATACAATAAGAATGCATGTTGGCTAAAAGAGATGGATAAGAATGAAAAAGAAGTGGAAATGAAAGAATTAGTAATAGTAACAGAAATAGTGGAGAAAAGAGCCAGGAAGATCAAGAGTTGGTCAGTACCAGGTGAAGATGAATGACGTGGCTTTTTGGTTGAAACATCTGACTGTTCTACACCCACTATTGCCAAGCAGTTTAATAACATGCTGCAAATGGTGAAATTGAAGATTGGTTAACCTCTAAGAAAAGCTACCAGATAATGAAAGATCCAGCAACAGAGATAGCATCGGGCAATTACCTGCTTATCAACAACTTTCAGATTGCTAACTAGTGTGATAGCTGATGTAGTCCAACAGCGTCTAGCTGAAAACAAGCTCTTTTCACCTGAGCAGAAAGGAAACTGCCCAAACAGCAGAACAACAAAAGATCAGTTCCCGGACAAAATTATTTTAATGTAATTTAATTAATTAATTAAATTAATTGAAACATAACACCCTAGACTTAACAATGTAGATAAGTAAGCCAAAAAAAAGTCTGGATAGTGGATGTAGCAGTACCTGGAAACAGCAGAATAGAAGAGAAAGAACTGGAGAAAATCAGAAAATTCAAAGACCTATAAATCGAAGTAGAATGACTGTGGCAAAAGAAAGCAATGACAATACCAATAGTAATAGGTGCCTTGACTACAATTTCAGAACAACGGAGGCACCACTTGAATATTGGGAAAATCACCAGTCAGTTGCAAAAGACAGCTTTATTTGGAAGAGCTTATATCCTGCGACAATACCTTTAACATCATCAGACAATAACATCTTGGGAAGGACTCAATAGATAGATAAAAATGCCAATCTAGTCTAAACATTTAGCTGAATGTGAGATGAACTTCGATTTGTTATAGGAAAATATAAATAAAATAATGATGCATTTCCAAGTTATTTCAGCCATTGCTTCTTAATGAGAAAAACAAACTTTTTTAATGGTGAACCAGTTAAAGATTCCTCCAAAACAGAATTGAAAAACATGATTTGATACTAGTACTGAAATTGTAATTTCCCAATTTTAATTAGACCATAATATAATGAAATCACGTAATACTTTTAATGTCAAGGTAGAAAGAAACGAAGCAGAATGCTTCAATTTTTAACTAGTTCCAATTAATATTATACCTATACCTAAACAGTTTATGAACTAACTGGTTACAATCATCATTATTAAGTCCTATGCAGAGCACATTGGGCAGCAAGTGTTTTCCAGAAATTTCAATCATTTGCAGCATCTTCAGCATCGTCCCAAGGGACATTAATAATCTTAAGATCTTCCTTAAGTGTTTGACACCAGTTTTTTGAGATGGGCCTTGTTTTCTCTTTCTTGCAGAAGGTATTCAACATAGTGCAATTTTTGAGATGCCGGTCTTTAGATATATGTAAGATATGGCCAACAAGCCACATTCAATGTTTATTCACAGTTTTCGATAGGTTCTAAATCTGATCTTTGTAGTATCTCTTCATTAGTAATGTGATATGAGACACAGAGGACATTATCCTTGTACTGACAGTATCTTGATTTTTGTTCTGTGAAATAATATGCTGTTTGCTGCAGTCCTCTTTGTTTAAAAGGATATTCAGTAAGTTCTATAAAATAAATATTATATATAAAAAGTTTCATTGAAATTTTAAGTTTATCTGGTAGCTCATAAAAATTACGTATTTTAAATTAAAATCTGTCTGCTTTAGTCTTTACTACTGCTGTCCACCTGGAATTTCAGTATTCTGATAAAATGAATGTTCATCTATTTTGTAGGATTTTACTTTGATTAAGATCAGAAAAATATATATTGCAAATAATTGTTAAGCATTTATATCCACATCTGAACATGGAAATAAAGAAAAATCCTAAAAGAATCCCGATTCTTCTATATGCCGATGATGCGGTTATTATTTCACAAACTTCTGTAGGACTGAAGAGAGCAATTAGGGCAACACTTGGCTATTGCAGACAGAACAAATTGGTCCTTAACTTTGATAAATCAAAAATTTTAGTTTTTGCTAAAAGACCCAGCCAATACTCCTGGAAAATAGAAGGACATAGTCTGGAACAGGTTAGAACATTTATATACCTTGGGGTTTTCCACTCGCAAGGGACATGGAAGGCACACTGGATTATACATTGCAAGCAGCCAATAGGTCCTCAAATGCAATTAAACATTACTTTTACACAGGCGGAGGTCAATTAGTACCTGCTGCCTTAAAACTTATCGAGGCCAAAACATTGGCGCAAATTCTATATGGGGCACAAACAGGAATCCTTACAAAGAAAAACTTGCTAGAAACCATACAAACCAAATTCCTGCAAGCCATCTTAGCTGCACCCAAAGGAACCCCAAATGCCCAATTAAGAATTGAGACAGGCATTAACTAGCTTAAAATGCATTTCTTTCCAGAGGGACTGTCCCCGTTAGTGCTGACTGACAACTTCCCCTCTCACTGGAAGCAGGCAATAGATCATAAACTCTTATGGGCTCTCATCGGTATTCTTAATGTCCCTAGGCTTTGATCAAGCAAAGCAAGTAGTATTCAATAGAATGAAGGACATGGAGTTCCAAGAACTAAATAGGTTGCCTCGCCACAGTAGGGGTAGAATCAAACAGGGTGTGTGGGAATCGGCAAGATATCTGAATGATCTGACCTTCCCAAAACAAAGAATATCTTTCTTCAGAGCCAGATTTAACATTCTTCCCTCAGCACTCCTCCAGGGCAGGTATAAGGGAACACCAATGGCAGGGCAGGTATAAGAGAACACCAATGTGGTAAAGGAGAAGTCGAAGATATCTCACATGTTTTATTGTACTGAGTTTATAGGTCAGCATATATCCTCCCCTTATTAAAGAGATTGCCAGGGAGGGCAGACAATTTTTATGTGGGCTTTCTCCTCCAGGATTCAAACCCTTCTATCACGCATGCAGTGGCAAAATACTGGGTTGCTGCAATGTCCACAAGAAAAAAATTGGTTACAGATTTATAGCCGTCAACTTGTGACATTTTTGGGGAGATATCTCTAATAATTTTTGAAACATTATATTTACTCACATACTTAGCGACTTTTCACTAGGGAGTGACCCTAACATTTTGAGAACATGTATTTTCTTAAAAGGGATGTTATTATTTGCTATTAATGTCAGTACTATTTTTTTAATATATTGTAAAATGTGATGTCTATTGCTGGTCTATGACCGTAATAAAATAGTAGTAGTAGCAATAGTAGTAGTAGTAGTAGTAGTAGTAGTAGTAGTAGTAGTAGTAGTAGTAGTAGTAGTTATTATGGCAGCCCCTCAAATAGTGGAATACTGCTACCATGTCACTCCTGTTTCTTCTTTTCTTTAGACTAGCCAAACCCAAGTCCTGCAGCCATTCTTCATATGTTTTAATCTCTAGGCTAGATTTCCAAGTAGAAACAATATGTCCAATTCTCTTGGCTGTAATGATATTGATCCAGGTATCCTGTCCAGGTAAGATCCAGTCAATGGATGGCAGGAGAAGGTCATAGGGAAAACTCCTATGGAACAGCCTTCTCTTGAAGTCAAACTAACCCAACTATGGTGTCAACATTTCAAAAGGTGTTCAAAACAGAGCTATTTCGTAGGCCCTTGAAGTTGATATAACTTTATATCAAATGATACATTGATAGTTCAATATATGTTTTGAAATTCTATTTATTCCACTTTTTATAAGTTTTATTATTGAAATTATTAATTAATTTCTATTGCATTATTAACTATTGTTTTAAATACTTTTTCAGACCTTAGTGGATTCTTATAGCATGGATATACATATATGTGTTCTTTCCATCTAAAGTTTCTTTGTGTGCATAAACAGCAGCAAAGGCCAGATAATCCTTCCTTGCTCAGTACCAATTTTGAGGTAGCATTTAACTGTAGTTTGGAATTCAGAATATAATTTCAAATTTTGTTTTGCTTAAGATCCTGAAGTATACGAGGTATTTAGTATTAGTGCTTAGGTAAAATAACAAAAAACAGATAAATATTATCTTTCAGAAGCCTCAAAATCTTTTTCTGAAAAATAAAATATTAATGAACATTGCAAGAAATATTATAATTACTCTTAAAGTTACATAAGAAAAACAGTGCTCTTGGCTAATATAAACAAGCAGATAATAACTTGTAAACTGATTCATTTTTAAAAAAGAAATATAAGGATACCAGTAGAAAATTTGTAGCTGAGTTATTTTACTGCTTTCTGGTCATCATTTTTAACAGGTTCTGTGGCTAAGAATTTCTTTACAAAATCTAAACTGCCGATCCCTGAGCTTTCACACATATGGTAAATACTATTTCCTAATTCATAATATTATTTTATCTTTCTGTGTGGTTTTTTTCCCTGTATCTGTATGTAAAACCAATGCAACAGAAAATGTCTTCAGCAATTGCTCACACTGTGATCCAAGCAAAGCAGAGAGTAAATTAATATTTATTTTATGCTTTTATCTTTTCAGTGGCCTAACAAAATGTGAATGGTACTGTAATCTAAAAATGTTCTAAAGAGCATATTAAGGAGTCTAAAAATACAGTAGTTTGAATCATTCAGATAAATATAATTCAGAAAAATTAACATCATAAGCTTCACTTCTAGTTTTCCTTATGAAATCGTATCCTAATTCTTTTAAACAGTGATAGTTTCATGTATTTTAGAATTACTCATTACAACTGTTTTTGGATGTTACATTTCTAAACTTGCCTAGGCTCAAGGTTGACTCAGCCTTCCATCCTTCCGAGGTAGGTAAAATGAGGACCCAGATTGTTGGGGGCAATGTAAATATATATATACATTGCTTACTGGTGTACACCGCTTAGATAGTGCTTGCACTTAAAGCGGTATATAAGTCTCATAAATAAATAAATAAACAAACAAACAAACATCATTAGGAAAATTACTTAAAAGTGTTATTACATAAAGTAATTTTTAAAAATCACAGTAGTTTAACTGTAATTTTATTGAAATTGCAATATATTTTTATTATAAAGTATAATTGAAATTTATATTTGTAATAAACATATTTGAATTACAATTAGAAATCGCATTAGTCTAAATGTTAATACCTGTGTGAGCAAAATGTGATGTACAGGTTTTCATTCTCGAAAATAGGATTCTATAATAACTGTCTGATTTGAAGGGAACTTAGTGACGTTGACTGTGATGGAGCATTGAGCTTAGCAGAATTCTGTGCCGCCTTTCACCTTGTTGTTGCTCGGAAGAATGGCTATCTTTTGCCAGACAGCTTGCCAGAGATGCTCTTGCCTGACTATCTTTATGCAGGTAAAATTTCAGTGTTTGTATGTAAGTTTTCAGTTAATTAAAACCGTGTTTTAACCACAGTCTATTTTTATGCAGTAATTACAGTATAGGAAAGATGCTCTGAAACTGGGTAATCAATGTTTGGTCTTTTAATAACAGCAGTGATATGACTCACTTCACAGCAAACCTGTGTGTAGCCAAAAAGCTTGGCTAACGTATGTTCATGAAGTCTGTGTCATGAAATCCTTAAAATTATTAATTTACAACTTAGAAGCTGGAAAGCCTTTTTGCCCTACATCTGGATGCTTCCAATATGATTATTTTAAATTGTGCTGACATTTTTAATCTTATATCCATAACCCTGCAATGCACTTTATAGTATATTACGTCACAATAGAATAACAACTTGAAACCATTACTGGATTTTTCTTTAAAGTCACTATTATTGCAAAAAAACAAAAACAAAGTGTGTCTTGGCATGATAGCAACTAATGTAGCTTTTATGGCTCTAATAAGGTTATCGCACTTCTATAAATCTTACTTTTCCAATAAAAAATCAGTATAGTGACCTTTTGATACTAAAATACTAGTACAGAAAATATTTTATAAGGGTTCTTTCCTTATTTGGGTATTGTTCTTATATTTAAAGAGACACTATCACACAAAGAAAATTGGGAACTTTATGGTGAACCACCCAGTCAGGACTTCTAAGTTTGTTTAGAAAGATTTAGTACCATTTATACCAGTTTTGTCTGTCTGGAAATGAAATAGTCTTAAAATATATTGTCTATTTTTTTAAAAGGTACTTTTTAATTACAACATTCTGGGAATAATTAGAAATTTCCCATTCTTTCATTCCAAATAATGAATGAACAGTGAATGAATAGCATTAACTTATGTATCCCAATCTTTTTAATACTTTCTCCCTAATTGTTTCATTTTAGTTTACCAATCTCCTACATCCCTAGGATTTCCTTATAGTCTCCCCTCCAAGCATTAACTAAGTTCAGCATCAGCTTAGCTTTTTTGATACATCAAGGTCAACTAAATGTATCAGCTTACCATAACTTATTCATTCAATTTAAAAAAAATTACATATTTTTAATATATGGGAACTTATTCAAATGATAATCACAAAATAAAAAACTCCAGTCTTGTATTACGAAGTAGAAAAGTGGCCAATTGTTATCATTAGGTTACAGAATATACTAAAATAGAAATCAATGAGAAAATAGGTCTGAAAAATGATTATTATAAAGATTGAGGTGCTTAACCATCTTTTTTCTTTTTATAGGTTCCCATAAATCTAAAGTTGAACATGTACTTAATTCTTATTCAGAGTCATTGTCAGTAAATCATTCAACAAGAGAGTTTAGTAGGACTGAGGTATGAACAGCTCATCTTGTTTTAAAATATTTGAAATTATAACAATGGTGTAAAACAGTCTTCATGTCATAACTTCCTGTAGCAGTTTCTTTGCCTCTCTTTGTGCTTCTTTAGTGCATTTATCTAAGTGGGTTGGTGACCAATTATAAAGCAACAGTTTCCTCAACTTTTTTCCTTCATCACTAAAACTTAATTGTTGGCTGGATTGGATTGGCTGAAGTGCAGCAGTTCAAATCCTTCCAGAAATCAATGTGAGTAGTGTAAGCATTAAAATCAATGCACCTCTTAAATGGAAGAGGACAAAGTAGAGAAAAAAGACTAGATTCAATTACCTGAGATTTAAGGCTGAGAAGGTGAACACTGTAATTATAATGCAGCTGCTAGATACCACAGCTATAATCAAAGTGTAATTTGCTGTATTTGATTCCAGCATAGTCAGCCAAAAGAAAGCCTTATGAAGGCTGTCAAAGTGGGAGAAATTATGGGAGAATTTTGTTTTAAGAAATACTGAATCCTTGGCAAGAGAAGTCTTATATCAAGATATGGAGTCAGCTGTGCATTCCTAAAGATCACTTTTGGTCAGCTGGTATCTGATTTTGTAAGTGTAAATGTTAAAGACTTTGCACACTTCATTGGAATTATTGATTCATTGTTACAAGTAGTCAAAATATTATTTAATTCATTCCTGAATTTTTAAAAGTAGAAACAAACCTTCCTGTGCTTTTCTTATCAGAGATGAATATTCATTCTCCCCATCACTTTCTCTTACCATATTTTCCGGCGTATAAGATGACCCCCGACTTCGGAGACGATTTGCATGGTTGAGAAAGTTGTCTTATATGCCGGAAAATACGGTATTTTTTAATATAATCAGCTCAAAACTGTATGCGAAGATCCAGATAACTCAGAACCACTGATTGTACACTGGGTCCCCAGCAAAGCATTAGCAGACCTGAGGAAAAGCAGAATTACAGTTGCATGTACCCTTAGCCTACTACATTGCACAGGCAAGACAAAGAAAAAGGCCGACACAGTGTAAATTACTGCATGATGTTAAAATATTTTAGATAACCCATCTGGATTGCCTTTTCATTACTTATCCCTTCCTATTAGGTCAGTATGAGCTAAATTATCTTTCAGATATGGCTAGTGAAAATAAACAGTCTAGTTTAATGGGGTCATTGATTCCTGACCCCCCCCCACTCTCTTGCCATTCAGGATTAATGGAGCTTATTATATTTATTTAAAACATTTATGTAGCCGCCCATCTTTCAACCAACTCTGAGTGACTCCCAATCAAAGACCATAAGATGTATTAATGTGATGTATAAAATCACATTAAAACTATGAAACCAAATTGATCAAAACATTAAAAAAAAAACGTGGTGCTAAATCAAAGTTCTAAAGTGTGATTATCTAGACTTCTCCCAGCACTTGGAGGAAAAGCCAGGTCTTCAAAGCCTTACAGAAGACTAAAAGGCTGAATGTTTTCTTGCAAGGACACTTTAAGCCGTTCACGTGATTTTACTTTATACAGTTAATAGTTAATGCAATTCACATGTGTATGGCCCTACCTCTTACTGCCACAATAACATTATACGTCTCTATTATAGTCAAAGAAAAGGAATTACTGTAGCTCCATGATAGTATTCCTAATAAGAGGCTTGATGAACTTTAACTATCTTTAACTATCTAACATGTTAAGGTCTGGTGTTTTGCTGGGAGTGAACAGTGCTCATAAAATATTCAGGTTGTATTTGTGTTTGTCAGGTGTTAATTTGCCATTGTAATGCAGCACCATTGACTAATTGCAGTCTGTGATAAAAATAATGTTAACAGAATGATGCTAGACTGCAATCCTGAGCAAACATATTAGACATCTATAGGATACTTCTGGAAAAACTTGCATAAGATCATACGACATGTAATACAATTGTATGGCTCTTTTGCTGTACAAAATCAAAGTACCAGCTTATCCTACCTGGTTTAGTTTCAAAACAAAATTATAAAAATAATTAAGGAATTTTAATTTATCCCTAAAAGTATTTTCTTACACATCTCTCCCCAGATTATTGGCTTCTCTCAGCCTGTACATTTTTGAATGACCTGACTTCCAACTTATGTTTGTGTCTTCTGTCTTTTACTTTTTTTTTAATCTTCACAAATGGATACCTTTCTGCCATAAAAAGCCTTCAATTGATGAGAAACCAGTTAAGGCTGCCCAGATTCAAGATACAGTTACTGATGATAAACAAGGTACAGTTCTAAACTGTAGTCTCAGTTTTAAAGTGGTAATATTTTATATAGTTTCTATTGGATATAAAACATGGCTAAGGATCTAATGCTGTCCTGAAGGAGTGCTAAACATGAATCCAAACCAGTCTGGCTGACGGATCACAGGGACAAGAGAAGAGGCAGTGTTCAGGAGACGTGAGAAATTGTGAGGAATCTGAAAAAGAAATTGAAGGAGCTTGATATCAACAGGTGGCACTGTTCATTAGGGGCTAATCCCCAATTTTACCCTTTATTTTGCTTGAATGCCACAGAGTTTTAATGTAGGCTCATATACCATGTTTTCCCAAAAGTAAGACCTACCCTGAAAATAAGACCTAGCTTGATTTTGGGGGATGGTCCTAATATAAGCCCTACCCCAAAATAAGCCTTAGTTTTGGGTTGAGGCGTACCCCTAAAAATCAAGTGTGGTTGGGAGGGTGGAGCTTACCATTGCAGCCTAAACTCCCATTGATCGACACTTGCCTCACCAGAAGGAGCAGCTTCATTCTGCAGCTGAGAATGGAGCTCAGCATGCATTTCACAGTCAGAGGCCTTTCCAGAAGGCCTGTGTACCCAAGAGCTGAGTTATGGATTGAATCCATAGCTTGGTTCTTGGCTGCAAATGCCTTCTGGAAAGCCCTCTGACTGCGAAATGCAGAATGAAGCTGCTCCTTTGGCCACAGAAGAAGTGGGCCGGTTGGGTGGGGCTGTTGGTGCCACCGCTGTGAGGTGAGTGGAAAAGAAACACACACACACCCAAAAATAGGACCTGGTGCCTCTTGGAGGCAAAAAAAAAAAAGACCAGGTCTTATTTTGGGGAAAACACGGTAAGTGAACTACTCTTCTCTTTTTAGCTTCTTTTGTATCACCTGGACCCCAGACATCCCCTTCCATGGGGCAGCCCTTGAAAAGTATTCAGAAGCTTCAATTGGTTCAAAATGCAGCAGCAATAATGGTTTTGTGCAGGCCTACATTTGCATATGTGTCATCTCTCCTGCAGGAGCTGTATTTGCTGTCAGTTTGCTTCCAAGTCCAATTCCAGGTGCTGGTTGTCACCTTTAAAGCCTATATGGCTTAGGACCAGATTATTTGAAGGACTGTCTTTTCCTTGTTACATCTACCTGACCCATCAGAATAGGGAGTCAAGGAATGCTATGGATACCCTTTCCTAAAGAGGGACCAAGATTTGATTGGACCAAGAATAAGGGCCTTTTCTGTCATTGCTCCCTGCCTGAGGAACATTTTATTTTATTTATATTTCATATTTCTTAACCATCCATCTCCCTCAGAGATCAGAGATACTGTGTTTGGGTTTTAGTACTGATCTCCCTGAAGTGCAAGTTTTCATTGCTATCTTGGTGGTGATCAATGTTTTTAACAAGATGGCTTCAATTCATATTATGGTTCCAGAAACTTTATTCTAATTATTTAAGTAATTCATATAAGTACTTCATGGGGTCCTTGGTACTGTTGGAGCTTGATTGTTTTCTTGCAGATATTTCATTACTCAACTAGGGTAATGCTCGAAGACAGTGGAGTTTTTATGACAAGTGGCTTGCAAAGTGTCAATGTTGGTTCCTTAATTAGGTTGTGGTTTACTGTTCGATTGTTTGTCTGAATTGGTAGTTCCTTGATTGGGGTATTGCTTATTGCTTGATTTTAGTATTAATCTTGGTGTTAATCTCTGTTTATTAGGATGTTGATTGCTAGCAATGAGACGTGGTGTTTTCGTTTTTTAATTTTCTCTTTTGAATGGAATGTAGATGTTGTTTGTGTCTATTGGTGGCTGATTTGTCATCCAGGAATTGTCTAGCATTTTGGGACTTAGCTTGGTCTACAATTGTCTAGCGTTTTGGGACTTAGCTTGGTCTACACAGTTTCCCAATTGAGTTTTCATCATGTTGTTTGACTGCTAGTTGGCTTTCATTTACTGTATCTTCTTCCAATCACCTTCAAATGAATGGGGAGAGGGAGAAAATCAGTGCAACTGTAGAAAAAATATTTGTGCTCATATCTTTCATATTAAAAGGAATATTAGCTAACTTTGTTGTCTTTAGAAAATAACTTGCCAGTAGTTATTCTCTGTGTATGACAATTGGCGCATCTAGGCAGCTACGATTGTCACTATTGGCTTTCAAACATACCCTCATCCTCTATTCTGTGAATTCATTCTTTCTAGGAGAAGTGACAAACAACCCAACTCCTCCTCAAGGAACATCTTGATTTTAGTTCCAGTGAAGATCCATCCAGTTTTTCATTATTCTGTGCCCTCCATGTCTTCTCCATCCCACATACCCTCTTCTCCCTCCTGTTATAGTTGAGAATGCAGGAAGAATTTGAGATGATGTAATAAATTTTAATTTTTCAACATTGAAGAGGAAAATTAAAATACTTAATTTATTGGAAAAAGCTACCCTGATGCCACGCAAACCTTCTCATGGCAGAAGCAGATAAAAAAACTATAATACACTTAATAATACAGTAAATGTACCCACCCTTTGAGGAAGTCCAGATGAAGAAACAGGCATAGCAACGATTGCTGGAATACTCTTTATTATAATAATGTAGAATAATATATTCTATATACCCAATAACATATTCTGTATACCCAAGTTTCTGTCCCATCTTCTATGAAACAAAATTAAGGCAGGGTTATTTTGAATTTCTTTCTTATGTTTCTGTCTATCTCAGAACCACATATCCTCTTCTTCAAATTCTCTCTGTAAGAGTCTTTCATATTGCCTCCAACATCATCCCAAGGGTGCTTTTTCCAAACGGCAATTGGACTTTCTTGTTTCTTTTTTCTTTGAAAACATTTCATTTCTCATCCAAGAAACTACTTTAGTGAAGTAGTTTCTTGGATGAGAAGCAAAACATTTTCAAAGGAAAAAAAATCAAGAAAGTCTGGTTGGCTTTGGGAAAAAACACTTTTGGGACAACGATGACCTGGATGATTGAGAATCTCTATAGGCATTTGCCTCCAATGTCAGTTCTAAATTCCTTTACAAACACAATTGATAGAATCAGGCTCTTTCTTCTCAGTTTAAGTAGACTTGCAGTGCAACATAGGACTAGTGCTTTTTCAAAATAGCATTAAACCTCAGTTGATATGGAACCTGCATAAGATTTGATATATACTTTAGATAGCGTCAGTGAGTTATTGTACTGACTTGTGCCTCCATGGAAATCAGTCGTGCTCTCTTGTTCAGGTGAAAGCAAAATGAAGGGCAGTCCCAGTGATGGGAGGGAAGAAGATATTCCTTCAGTGGTCTGATGATGTCCACAGCTATTGGTAAAGCCTGACACATTATGTCAGGGGTGTCAAACTGCCAGCCCAAGAGCCAGTTTCATCATACTGAAGCCGCGCCCACCCCATTGCCGGCAATGCAAAAAGAGTCATGATACGTCGCAACACGTTACATGACGTGGCGAGTTTGACACCCGTGCATTATGTCATAGCAAAAAATGCTGGGAGAAAGGGAAAACACTACTGTCAAAATTGAAATATTTAAAGATAACTTTAGGCTATTTCAGGTGTCAGCTGGCAGGGAATAAGATAAAGGCAACATCATGAGGCATAAAAAGGAGGCTACCAAAATGTGAAGATAAGACCTCATGTTGTGCCCCTTGTTAATTCCTTTAGGAACAACATAGTTACAAGATAGCACACAGTAAGAAAGTTACAGCTGAGTCAGTGTCTCAGAATAAAATTGCTATAATCTTGTAGTATGTAACAATATATGAATTATTTTGTGTGGATACCTAAATGAGATAACCGTCTAATTATAGTCCCATGCACCTCCAGAGTTTCTTCTGTGTTATCAGACAAAATACACCTCATGAGAGTAATTTATGTTGGGAGATTTATGCTTCTAAGGTACTGCAAAAGAACAGCAACAAATTCATGAATTTGGATATATTTGGAAGTATGTTTATACTTTACAACCTGAATTTCAAGCTCCTTATAATACTCAATTCTTGTTAAGAATGCATTTATAAATTCATGTAGAGGTTAGCAGAAAGTAATCTGTATGTGTGTATCTGTGTATGTCACTATCTACTCACTGTAAATCACTATCTTTTGACAGATTATCCCACTTTTGAACTATAAAACTGAATATTGGGATACTAACTATGAACCTAGAAGCTAAAAATAATCGTACAATTCATTTAGGTCCCACTCAACATTATGTGTTGTATTCAATCTGTATTCTCTTATTATCAAAAAATTCTTAAGAAAATCTATAATGCCTATTGATTATTGTCTGCTTGTTTTGTTTATAGTTTACTCAAGCACATATAGAGGGCTAATTTGGGAGAAATGTGAGTTATAATTATATAAATAAGTTATTATAGGGTGCAAAAAGTCTCATTATTAGTTCTGCCTCTGATTGCACCAAATAATTATTTGGGTTATAGTCATTAATTCCAAATTCACTACTAGCATTGCTGCTATATGATTTCTCTTTATTGCAATCAGTTTTTCTTTCCTTTTAGAATAAATAATGCAACTGGATAATGTAACTTATTGTATAATGTTCTTTGAATATTGGAGAGTTTATTTTACATTATGTCATTGATGAATAGATATTGTTTGCATCTGCTTTCTGCTGCAGAATGAATTGGAATCTAACAAGCTTTGATCCACAGAACAGACAATTTGGGTTTTTGTTTTTTTGCTAATTCATCATTCTACTGCAGCTCATTCTGTTCTGGAAACTTTCTCAGCCTCAACAACAGATTGTTAGAGAATTGATTGGTGAGAACACTCAATTCTTAGCAGAGCTCTGTTTGTTGAACACTTTACATATATGATAATTTGAGTCTGATTTTAAGCTTTATGCATGAACTTTGCAGAATAATTTGTTTGTAAATTTGCTCTCTTTGTCAAACATTGTTTCTTACAATGATGCAAAATATTCCCAAGGGCATTTCTAATGGAAATTAATAATTTAGTCTCAAATAATTAATAATTTAGTCTCAAATAATAATTCATTATTTCTTTTCAATTAGGTCTGAAAGTGAGTGGTTCTATCCAAGCAGCACCAAGGGAATTTAAACCTTTCAAAACTGGTAAGAAAAGTTTCTTATATAAAAACAAATATAGACAGTGGAGAATTTCTAAATGTCTAATATTGTGAGAAGAGAAAGTTTTCCCTTTATCAAATTCCCCAAATGGTGTCATATAAAGAAAATTAGTAAAGTCCCCAAATGGTGTCATATAGAAAAAAAATGAGTAAAGTCAGGGTTAAAGGACAATGGAGAATCCAAAAACCAGCACGATCCAAGCCTAAGGTTTACAACATAGGGCCATTTAACAAGTAAAATTGAGTTTCATTAGCTAGTCTGCCAAACATTGGGATCTGAAAAGCATGCATTGTTCCAGCAGATGTAGAGCCTCAACTAACAGCTTTAGTCTGGTTTCCAAGTCCCATCAAGCTCTTGCTCTGAGTAAATAGTTCTGTTCTCAAGAAACCCTCTACTTTCTTTTGAAAATCCATTAGTTGCAGAGAGCTATCATTTTACAAGGAGTTTCATTATTGGGCTTTTATATGGAATCTTGTTCACTGAATGGCAATAGGCTAGCAATTCCTATTAATGATTCCATTCTAGAACTGTAAAATGTTCTATTGTCTATCTTAGAATTCATATTTGTCACAGGTGAACCTAGATGCAGGTTCTTCCAAGAGACAGATTCAATGCTGTTTCTCCTGAATGTTGAAGTGTATCACTGTCAGTACTAGAATGAAGAGAATCAATCTATTTCTTTTCTAAGGATTCTAAATCTTTCATGTCTTTATCTGCCAATGTGGTAGATAAAGGCTGTGGTCTAGAAATACAGAGATCCAGATCTGATCCTCCCTTAGCTGCAGAAGCAAGGGCAGGAGTGAATATATAGGTGACTTTGGGCCAGTCACCCTTCTCAGTCCTAGATTGGGAAATATAAAGCCAGTCTCCACTAGACCAACATGGTAGATTACGGTCCACAATCTCCAATAAAGGGGCAATCATTCCTGCAGTGGATGGATTTTGACTGATTATACATATAGTTACAATTAAGCACAATACAAACTTTATCAAAATATAGCATGCACTGTAATATTTTTTTCTTGATAGCCATTTCATTTCATTTCTGTTTATTCTACAGATGTTCTGTATATCCTTGGTTTACCTTGCGTCAAATAAATTTGGTCATAATACACGTCTTTCCATTTTTACATTTTCACCAAATTCAGATGACATTTAAAGCTCGAACATAGTCATTATCAACAACTGGCAATTTGGTTTTTTCCTGGGACTTTGCATAGTAATCGCAAACTACCGCTTTGCAGTGCTTTACAGCCCTCTCATAGCAGTTTACAGAGTCAACATATTGCTCGCAACAATCTGGGTCCTCATTTTATTGACCTTGGAAGGATGGAAGGCTGAGTCAACCTTGAGCTGATCAGGATTGAACTACTGACAGTGAGCAGACTTAGCCTGCAATACTGCATTCTAACCACTGTGTCACCAGGGCTCTATCACATAGTATATTGCATAGTATATGACTAGGAATTCTTACTGATGGAATCTGATAGGGAGTCACTGCAGTCCCTTTGTGCAGTTTTAGAATTCCAGGAATACTTGATGCTTGCTGGGATATGACTAAGTGCTCTTTATTTTTGAAAGAGAGAGAGAGGAGATTGCATTATAGTTTAATCAAATCATGTCTCACAGACTAACTGATGTATTGTGGCATCATAATTTGTAGATAAATGCCATCTTCATCACACATCTAAAATGGATTAATACCAAGTGTGAGGTTGATTCCAAAAGACTTTTTAATTGTCAAATATTACCTTTATTATTTTAAAATGAATTGCATATTGAGGGATTGCTGCTGTAATATTTTGCTTCTGTGAGCATCTAGTACAAAAATAGGCTTTTTAAAATAGCAAATCAGTGCAATCTGAACAGACTGGCTAATAGCAGAACAATGGGTTTACTAATAATAGTAAGAAAGTGTAGGCAGCAACAAGGAAAAGGTAAAATCAGTACAACCCTCAAAGATTCTCTTCATTCCCTTCTCATGCCCTTCCTCCTTGTTTTTAAAAATGAGGAATTATTCAACAGTTAAAAGGACTTTTCTTTAACAGTGCAACTGTCTCAAAGCCAAAGTGAGGAGATGAAAAGGTTTTTTTTAAAAAAAAAAAGACTGAGAGCTCTTCCTTGTGACTACATTAATGTGCATTTCTCTAATCTATGACTTGGAAGAAAAGTAGGCTGCATAAATTGCACTCCCCTGACAGCCAACCTCTTTTCTGTTTCATTGAAAAACTCAGTGGACTAATTGCCATACAGTTTTAATGGAAAACAAAGTAAGGAAAGTGATGAGTGGAGTCTCCAGATTTTTTTTTTCCTCTGCCACACAATGTCACCTGCCAGTAGGAAACTCAGTCATTGATCACTCTTCTTAAACATGAATTCCTTCAAATGGCTAGATTCATAGATTTAGCCCTCTGTAAGAACCTGGCACTGAAATAGTGATACACTGGGTGAAAAGGGACTGCATGATAAAGCAGGATTTCCTACTTCACCAGGCAGCCTCTCAGATCATCTACAGATCAAAGGCCTGGAAAGCCAAGATGGTTTTGACCCATTTAAAGCAATTTCTTTCAAAAATAAACTGATTTGTAAAGATACTCATTTTTCTCACACGTTCTTATAGAGCTAGTTGGTAAATTTCTCAGCTTTCCTGAAACAAAAAGAAATGGAAGAGAGAGCCAGAGACCAGGGAGGAGAAACTTGCTAGCAAAGTACCTAACAGAAATTGGGCAGGTCCTGTCCCTTGATTGTGTCTGCACTGGCACAATTAATTATGTGTTGTGCTCTTCTATCCATGGCAAGACCTGTGCTAGGGGAAAAGAAAAAAATACTATTTTTAAAATGGAGCAACTAAAGACAAATTTAAATTCCTTTAATGGTGGGCTGACCATAAGATGAAGGTAACAAGGTGAGGACATTTCTTTTAAATATTTAGTAATCTTTGTGCCATAGTTAAAGAGATGTGAGGATTAGCTTTTAGTCATCCTTGTAGTTTTATATAAAAATTATACTACATCAGTGTACTGGCAGTGATAATTAGTTCAGTCTAATTAATCATGTTTTAATAGAACAGAAATAAATCATTTCCGCTCACCCTCTTGTTCCCTTTTTTCTTGAATGAGTATCTTGTGGCTAACTCCCCCCCCCCCTCAAAATAAGGGCTTCAAAATTATGGTGTTTCAATGATGCTATTACCTATCAATGCCTTACAGGCAATGGTAAAGTATGCAAATTCACTGTCTGCCAAGAGTGAATGTGTTAAAGAACCTTGTCTTTTTGAGGAAGGAAAAAAGAAGGAATACTGTCACAGGATTCTGCTCATTTTGCTCAAGTCTGAACACTTATAAAACTGCTATTCCAAAACTCAGTAACATTACATGTTAATTGTAGACCATTAATATGTAATTCAAATTTGACCTTACTCAATATTCATTGTACTCTGTCATTGTTCACAGAAAAGAAAGACAAAAAATGTCTAATATAAACTGTACTATGGGAATCTTATTTTCTAATACTTTTATCATGAAAATGATGTTTTTACCTAAATGTAGTTGAGATCCATTCGCAGTTTTCATGTCTAGTTATACTGTTGCATCATTTGATATTATGAATAGTTTTATTTCCTCACAATGTTATTAACAAATTATCTTACATTATAGCTGCTCAAGAATCAAAAACACTTAAAACGAGACCAAGGTCCAGGTAAGTAAGCAAAAATAAAATGTCAATCTGTCAGTATTTATTTTGCTGTTTTTGCAATAAATTGCAATTCTAAAGTAAACCAGGGGATTTAGCTATTACAGTAATTCAGATAATACTTTTGAAGTGGACCTTCAAATACTACACTGAATTTGTCGGACAAGTAATAATTTATTTTTGAATGCCTTTTGACTGATACCTTCTGTGCCTGATAGCTTTGATATAGAAATGCATCACATAAACTGTTTTAGATAAAATTCACACCTCAAAAATAAACATTTCATTTAGTAAATAGCACTTTTCTTTTATTTCTGCAGTTTTAATTACCTAAAAGTTTTTATGATATACTTTATTAGGTAATTGTACTTTCCTGCATTGTTTTATTTTTGTGAAATGCATGGATTTTATTTATTCTACTTACACTAATGGAAACATGTCACAGTAAATATATAAATAATAAAATAAAAACAATGTAGCACTAAATACATTTCTAAACATATACAGTTAAAAGTTCCTTGTGATAATTGTTTGTATACTTTTCACTTTTAAATATGGTCACATCTAATTCTTATCTTCAACAAATGCCATACCTAACTTATTTTTTTTTGTTATCTTAACCTTACAATGAAGCTACAAGTACTATAAGCCTAAAAAAGTTAAACTGTACAAACAAAGTGGATAACTGTCCTTCAGAAAATATTTTCTATTTTTCTTCCTATAGTATTAAGATTAAATAGAGGGAAAAAATAAGTATCAACCAAATAAGATATTCTTTTTTAGGATGATATTTTTATTGTTTCTAAATGACAACCTATGCAATTTTTAACCAGATGTTTTTAATAACTGTCAGAATACAGATATATTTATGGACTAATTTTTGTTCCTTCTCGCATATTTTCAAAAATTAAATCACTATATAAGAATATGTCCACTATATAATTTCACTTCAAAATGTGTGGTTCAAGGTATTTGAAATATGCATGTTTCCAAGAGTAAAGACTGATTTGAAAGCAATAAAAACAAAACAGAATTAACTCTAGCCCCAACTTTTCAAAGGTCAGCTTTATCTGAGTTGCAGTTGCTAAACTCTGCCTTTTTAGAATTCACTTTTGGAAAGGGTCTTCAAAGTGCCTGGAAATATGAACAGCATTTGGATCTAGTTAAGTAGAATCCCCTTCTGCTTCTTTTAATTATTGTTTTTTATTCACTTTTCTTTATTGGATTTTGGTTTTTTGGGTTTTTTAATAATGTGTGATCACCTTTTATTAATATTTATTTTTGTTAAATGCCTCTTGGAATCACATTGGTTGAGAAGTCAGAGGCTTATAAATGTATGAAATAAATATCTGCAACTCCCCAGAGCACCCCACTTTTCCTATGATTTTGCAGCAGCTACAAAGTGTAGTTACATAAATAATCCTTGAAAAAGACATCACTGCTTGATGTCTTCATAGTCATTCATAATCCTACATACTCCAAATTATTTTCTGGTATCAAATACAAAAACTGGCACAGCCTTCTCTGAATACATTGTTCCTCATGTTTTCCTTATTCTTTATATGTATTCCCTGGAAAATTACTACTTTCAATTTAAACAAATTCTTTACCATAGCAGTTTGCCAGATACTAAATTGAGTGTTCTTTTAAAAAATGAGGGTAAGAAGTCAGAGGCAGATGTGCAAGCATCTACAAATGACTATATACTGTATATTCATTTTGTATGTATAAAACATGTATAAAACATGTATCCCAAATGTATCCCCATGTATCTTAAAAACAATATCCTACTTTGGAGTAACAGTACTCCAGGTACTCTGTGGAACAGTCTCATCCTGTTTACTATTATACCAGTCATCCACAAGTACTAGCAACAGAAATCAAGGACAATAAAAAAAGCTTCTTCCAACATACTAACAACAAAAAAAAAAATCAAGGAAACTGTAGGCCCATTAAAGGGAGAAGATGGCAAGGAAATTATAGGCAACAGGGAGAAAGCAGAGCTGCTTAACTCATACTTTGTGTCAGTCTTCAAAAAGAAACTACAGCCCAACATACCAAAAAAACCATTGTAAAAGATGTAACAGAAACAAAAATTAAAATAAGCAAGAAAATAGTAAGGGAGCACCTATCCAACCTTGATGAATATAAATCACCGGGACCTGACAGGCTACATCCCAGAGTTCTGAAAGAGCTGGCAGAAGTTATCTCAGTACCATTGCATCACATCCTCTATAAATCCTGGAGCATCGGGGAAGTATCAGAGGATTGGAAAAGGGCTGATGTGGTCCTCATCTTCAAGAAAGGAAAAAAAAAACAGACCCAAGAAACTATAGACTAATCAGTTTAATACCTGGGAAAATCCTAGAAAAGATTATCAAAAAACAGATCTGCGAACAACTAGAAGCAAACAAAATCATAACTAGTGGCCAACACAGGTTTGTCAAAAATAGATCATGCCAAACCAATCTCATTTCATTCTTCGATAAAGTGACTAAACTAGTAGGCAAGTGAAATTTAGTGGACATAGTATACTTAGACTTCAGTAAGGCATTTGACAAGGTAGACCACAACCTACTCCTTGGTAAACTAAGAAAAGGTGACATAGACAACATCACTACCAGATGGATCTGTAACTGGCTAACAAACCGTACTCAACGAGTAATCCTCAATGGTACTACATCCACATGAAAAGAAGTAAGCAGTGGAGTACCACAAGGTTCCGTCTTAGGCCCAGTACTCTTCAATATTTTCATCAATGACTTAGATGAGTGAATAGAAGGGGAACTCATCAAATTTGCAAATGATGTCAAACCAACAGGAGTAACCAACACCCCAGAAGACAAACAGAGGATTCCAGAAGATCTTGACAAACTTGAACAATGGACCCTATCCAACAAAATGAGTTTCAGTGTGGAGAAAAGCAAAGTTTTACATTTAGGCAGGAAAAATCAAAGGCACAAATACAGATTGGGCGAGACCTGGCTCAAAAACAGTAACCGTGGAGGGACCTCGGAATCCTAGTGGACGATCATTTGACTATGAGCCAGCATTGTGTAGCAGCAACCAAAACTAACACAATCCTGGGTTGTATAAACAGAGGCATAGAATCAAGATCATGAAAAGTACTATTACCGACTTCTGGTTCCAGATTCGGCACATTCAGTCGCACGGAGAGACTTCTCTCTTCGCCGGCTGCTTTCCCTCCACCGGTAGACCCCTAATCGGGTCGACCTGGAGGGGCAACCACTGTTGAGGAGGCGTTTGTCTGACTGAGGAGGGGCGGCAGCTCCCTCTGCAGTCCGAGCTAACTCCATAGGGCTGATGGAGAAGATCGGCCAGTAAAATGGCCAATCACCCAGCCATGCCAGCCGAAAGTCAAAAGAACAGCTAAGTATAAAGAACCACTGTGGTGAATCCGGGTGAGACCTTTTCTTCCCTCTCTTTGCCCTAACTACTTTCCTGTAAAAAGCCTTTGAACTGCTTCCCTATTCTAAGAGAGCGGCATTTGTGTACTTGGGAAAAAGAGCTTAAAAGAAACAAAATAGTTAACTCTTTATCGACCGTGTAACTTTTTGGATATCTAGGGGTCCTGAGGTAACTTGGAAAAAACATTCTACAATCCACTGCGGACATCCTGTGGTGAAAAGTGTCATTGCAATTGTGTTTTTTTTTTTTTTGCTACTTGAAGATGGATTTGATCTTCAAATGACAATAAAAGGGGAAAGATAAAGGACTTGGAACAGCTGGGTGGTGAATTTGTCTACTGGAATTTTGGAGGTGGATATTTGTTGACATTTACTAAATACAGCCTCCATTAAAAGATCAAAAGACTATTTCACCACTGAAATGAAGGAACCTTACCCACAGCTTGACTATGAACTTATACTGGAGAAAATTGTGGAAACTATGGAGTATATGAAAACATATATGAAATCTTGGAGAAAATCTAAAGATGATATTTCAGAACCACAAACTGACTTTCAAATAAAGGATCAAGCTATAGGCCAAAGCACAATAAAGGAAGAACAGAGTAACCCCAAGGAGGCCTCTACTCAACAGGATATATAACCCAAAGAGACGGAGGAATTATACCTACAACTTAATTATGAACTTACATTGGGAGAGATTGTGGAAACTACTGAGCAAATCAATCTTACACAACCCCATATACAATCTATGGAGAATTTTGATGACCAAAGAATAACTCTAATTATGTTACCTGAATTGCTAAAAACAACAGAGACTGACATCCAGATACAAGTTATGGAAAACTGTGATAATGTGGACAATCAACTAGTAATTAAAACACGGAATAAAATTGAGTATACCATTCAGATGACATTGGAAGAAAGGGAAGAGAACTTTGACCAGTCTGAAGTACCAAGAAATACCTTTATTCAAATGTTGAAGTTTGATGATGCAGAAGCTCCAATATGGAAACCGGTTTGGCACAGAAAGAAAGCTAGAGTTAGATTTAAAAAGGTGTTTTAAAATCTTATCTAATGGGTTAAAAAGGCTTTAGACTCGGACTGATTTAATAATAAACGGAGTAGGTGAATTCTATAAAAGGATATTTTTTGTAATAATTTGCATTAAAGATGATAAGTATTTGGAGGGATAAATTTCATTTAATGGGTTAAGAAGACTTTTGATAGATATAGACTGATTGACAGAATATATATTTAAAATAGAAATGTATTTTTATTGATATTTTTATTTTAAGTAAGATAATTATTTTGTAATAGAAGGAGAAGAAGAGGGAATTGTAATAAGAGGAAAAAATGGTATTAATAAATGATTTATTAGATTAAGAAATAGGTTGTATGTGGAAAATATATTTATTGTTATTGGAATAATATATTTATCTTAGATAGAATTATTATGCTAGGGAAAAGGAGAAATGAGGGATACCCGAAATGTTAATAATATGTCTATTTAAGCTCAATTGGAATTCGGTAACTGTAAATGAGCAAAGCTTAAAAATAGGACTTGGATTTTTTACAATTGAAATGTGATTTATGACTGATCTGATCGATTGCATTCTATTTAGAAATGTATTAATTTGAATATGTAATACTATATGTTGGAACAAGAGAAGGAATTTTAATGAGCTAATCTAAGTTATATATGCATGATTTTGTTTTTGAATAATTGATATCCCCATCACCATGTTGTTTCTTAAGCACTTTGATGTAAAAATGAAAAAAACAATAAAATTTCTTATTAAAAAAAAGTACTATTACCGCTTTATAAAGCCCTAGTAAGACCACATCTAGAATACTGCAGCCAATTTTGGTCACCATACCACAAAAAAGATGTTGAGAGTTTGGAAAAAATTAAGAGAAGAGCAACTAAGATGATCAGGGGCTTGGAGATTAAAACATACGAAGAACAGCTATGGAATTTGGGTCTGGCTAGTCCACGGGTTGGCAACCCATGGCTCAGGAGCCACATGTGGCTCTTTCAGCCTTCTACTGTGGCTCCCTGTTCTCCTCCGCTATTTGCAGAGAGAGAGACAGAGAGAGGCACTTGCGCTTCCCCTCCTCTCTCTCTCCGATCTTCTGCTCACCTAGCCAGCTGACCTCACGCTGTTCTTCGACAAGCTGACAAGCTTATTGGGTGGGCTCCCTGCCCTTGCTGCATCTCCGCAGGAAGCAGCAGAAAGCAGCATATCTCTCTCTCTCTCTCTCTCTCTCTCTCTCACATACACACACACACACACACACACACACTTTTACTTAGTTAGTGGGAGAAGAGGACTGGCAGACCAAGGGCAGAAGAGAGCCAGCCCAATAAGAATGTGTGAGCTTGTCGGAGAACAGCGTGAGGCCAGCTGGCCAGGTGAGCAGAAGATCGGAGAGAGGGAGAGAGGGGGGGAGGGGAGAGGAAAGAGAAAGAGAGAGGGGGGAGAGAGAGGGAGAGGAAAGAGGGAGAGAGAAAGAGAGAGGGAGAGGAAAGAGGGAGGGAGAGGAAAGAGAGAGAGAGAAAAAATATGAATATATGTTGTCCTTATTGGACTTTTAGTAAAGAACTAAATATTTAATGAAATATTTTGATTTTTTTAAATTAAGAGATGAGGTATGGGGATAATTATGCTGTATATAAAGATGGTAGATAGCTACTAAAATTGTTTTCAACTGTTGGGATGAAGGAGAAAAGTTTTTTTTCCTCTTTCTCTGGCATAAAAATTTGTTTTCTTTAAACTTATATAAGATGTTTTATAGATAGCATATGTCATGCCTCCGTCTGAGCCTGACTCTAAGGATGACATGGAGTTCCCTGCTGAGGCCCAGGAGTGGGTGTCTGTGGCTTCGGAGGACTGTGGGGAGGAATAGGCTGAAGTAGGCCAGGGCCCTTCAAGTTTGGAACAGGGAAGGCAGAGCTCAGGTGAGGAGCAAGGCCCCTCCCCACCAGATCCCAGATCAAGGAGAGCAGAGAGGAGGAGGGAACAGAGGCAGGCTCACTTGCTCGGGAGGAGAGCGTCATGCCCCACTCCACAAGGCACACCAGGGGAGTAGGTATTTAAGGAGACACTGTGGGGTGGGGCATTTGCCTCGAACAAACGTGAACTCTTATGATGTGAGCTCTTGTACCTGGACTGTTTGCATTTTGGATTAAGTTTATTTCCTGCTGAGTTCTCCTTGCTGTCCTCAGTTTTGCAGTTTGCAGGATACAGGCAAGCTGGCGTTGAAAAGATCATACTTTGTTTTTTATCTATTTTACTTTAAAGAACTGTTTAACTCCGTTGACTGTTTTATTGTACTTGTGCCAGCATAAGTGGGGGCTGTTGGGTGAATGTTGGCGGTGCTTACAAAGACAATTATTCTGACCAGCTAATTGCTTTGCCTCAGTTCGGGGACCTGGGTCATCACATTTTGTTCCCGGCCCACTCCCAATTGCTCTTCCAGACCAAGTAGGGCGACCATAGATCAGCTCCGTGTGGAAAATGATCAGCTAAAACAGCAGGTGGCCCT